AATGGCCAGAAGCCAGAACTGGAGTTTTCTTGAGTGACCTGGGGCAGGCCCCCCAAGCTCAGGTAAAATGGTCTCCCGGCCGCAGAACTCTGGCTGCTCGCCACTTTGTGATAGAAGAGTGGCGAGGAACAGTCAGCAAGATGTCCCACTCTTAGGTGGGAACCCTCAGGCCCTCCTCCCCGGCCTCTCCCATCCTATTCCGTGGGAATGCCAGGCTCTGGCCTTCTGTAACTCCCTGGGCGCAGTTCTCCTCACCCCAGGCCCAGCAAGAGCACTTGGAAGGAGCCCTGGGTCCCCAGGAGAGGCAGCCACCCCTCCACCTCCCACGGGCAGGGCCAGCATTCCCCACCCTGGGCCACAATTGTCCTGGTGTGGTCACCATGTGGCCTTGCTCATTGTTTGAGAAAAGCAGTAACTGTTCCGGCCTACTGACCCCACCCCATGGCACCCAGAGCCCAAACACCAACTCCATGTTCACATAAGTCCCTTGACCCGTGCAGTCAGCCTTCTCGGAGAAGCCTGGTATGCGCTTCCCCTCTCTGCCACACCCTCGCCCCTGAGCCAAGATCCTGGTCCATCCTTCTCGCTACGCAGGATTATAGCTCAGTATTTTTAACTGCTGTGTAGGACCTCGCTACTCTGCCTCGATTCTGGCAGATTTGCGAATCTGACAGTGTGAGGGGAAGTGATAGTAGAACTGGACACCTCCATCCACACGGTTTTTAAGGGAAAGAGGAGGGGCTGGGGATATAGCTCAGTGGCATACGTGCCTGCCTGGCAAGCACAAGGTCCAGAGTTCGATTCCCAGTACCAAAAAAAAAGGGAAAAAGGAGGCACAAAGAGGAATGCAGGCCAGCTCAGGATTTGGCCACACAAAGAGCCCTGGGCTGGCTATGGGGGCCTGGGCAGGCCTCCCCTGAAGGAATCCATGGTGAACCCCAGTGCCCACCTGGTGTAGGGCAGCAACTAGCATCTGCCTTGGGTGCCTCAGCTTCTCAGAAGTCAAAAAACCAGGAATTAGACCCCCAGAGGTGCAGGGCCTGAGCCCAGCCCACAGTTAGGAGTTAGGATTACTCCGAGTAGTCCTGGCTGTTACGGTCCAGACCTCTGAGGGACCCCCAGGCCAAAAACAGCCTGGGTTGGGGCAGAACAGGTTGCTTCTCAGACAGAATTGTGGCTGGAAAGTCTTCCTTAATCCCTAGATCTAAGACCTACCAGGCCAGAGTCCTCTGGAGCAGACGGACTTGTGTGGCTAAGCCGCTCTCTGTACCAAGCTAGAAGCCTTTCTGGCCCCAGCCATCAGAACTGCAGGTGGCCTCCTGTCGAGGTGGGGAATCACTTCTCTGGAGGCCTGAGCCAAACTCCACCCCACTGGGGCCCTGGGGCTATGGCAACAGATCCATATTGTCTGGAATCAGGAGGGGGCCGGGGCGCTGAGGGCAGGGCGGCACAGCGGCAGGGCCTTTGCCATCCTCCATCAAGGTCCCAGACGCTTTCTCGGCACAGGGTCCTAGTGGCCTGTCCCTCACCAGCTCTCCCAGGACTCCTCCCCGGCTCAGTTTCTTCCTTCGCAGGCTCTCTGGTGTCGTGGAACCAACCCGTGCTCTGGGCATGGACAGGTGAAGGTGGAATCCAGCCTCCATACTGATTAGCTGAGTCACCCATCAGGGGCAAGCTCCGTGTGCATGTGGAGCATTGGTTTCCTGGTCTGCGAACAAGGGATGGGGGGTGGGGAGCGATGCCAGCATGAGGGCGCACAGGGGAGGCTTGGCACAGCCCCTGGCCAAAGCGAACCCTCGAGGTTGGTTTCCTTATCCAAGCAGAGTTGAGGTCTGTTCGGGTTCTGTCATGTCCAAGCTTGTGGGTGTCCTCTCTTTGAGCAGGGAAGGAAGGCAATGTCTGCCCTCCTCTATCCCTCATTCTCCATGTCCTCGCCTCATGGACTGCAGTACCTCCCCAGTTGAAATTAACCTCAGCGCAGACATCTTCCATATGGAGAGAAAGTGGTGCCCAAGGTAAGAAGTAGCATTACAGGCCAGGCGTGGTGGTCCATGCCTGTAACCCCAGCACTCGGGAGGCTGAGGCAGAGGATCGTTGTGAATTTGAAACCAGCCTGGGCTACAAAGTGAGCTCAAGGCCAGCCTGAACTGCATAGTGAGACCCTGTCACAAAAAGACAAGAAAAGGAGAAGAAGAAAAAGAAGAAAGAGCACAACAGACAGTAGCTTCTTGCGGGATGCTCTATGGAGGAGGCCAGTGTGGAAGAAACTCCTACCCTCCTGTCCCCCATACAAGAGTGGGCTTTTGGATTTGTGCCGACAGTGTGAAGGGAGACCCACTGGTCCCAGAGAATGACAGCTTGGGCACGACCCAGCTCCCTGGACCAAGTGGCGTCACTCCCAGGGAAAAGGATTCCACCTCCAGCCAAGCTCATGGCTCTCCCCAGGATTTCCGCCGTGCCCTGGCAGACTCCAGTGGAGGCTCTCAGATGGGGAGCAAGCTCTGATCTTTGAGACAGGGCGGCCACAGTACTCTCGACATGTGCACGGAGAGATGCTGAAAGCGGATACACCAAGAAACGGTGATTTTCATATTAGCCTCTAGCTTTCACCCTGCTGCAAGTAGCTGAATAAATAAACCAACCCAATTAAAGTGTCACCTTTGGGATAAAACAAGGGAGCTCTGATGGCTGATGAGAGACGCCCGCAAATGTCTGTCAGCTTGGCTCATCATGGGTGTCCCTGAGTCCCCCTTTGGAAGGTGACTCCCTTGGAAAGTTGTCTTTGATGACCATGTCACTGTAATCCCAACAAAGCTCATCTTTCGATGACCTCCTGATTGCTTCAACCTTAGATTGAAGATCTTAGGAATTACCTTTAGGAAGCACTGACAAATCCTGAGAATGATTTTAAACTTTCAGGCCCAAATGATTATACTGAGGTTGATCCTTTTCAGGCACTGATCACTAATAAGATAGTCCCAGCTGCCATCACTTTTATGTTTGACTTCTAGGCCTGGGCAAGATGTCTTTGGTGAGATGTGATGGGACAGCTCCCCATCCTGTGACGTCTGGTCCTATCACATGTGCTCCTCTAGACTTGATCCCCGGAACCCAGCTGCCGCCAATTGTGGGTAGAATTTTGGGGTCCTTCTCTGGACATTCCAAGCGGTTGGAACTCAGAGTTAAAAGTCAGGTGTCCTGTCTTGGCTCTGGAGGTTGGAAAACAGTGGACATGATTCCTTTTCTGTTTTGGTGATATACATGTGGTGAATTTTGCTTATGAGGACTTGGAAGATTTCCACAGCTGCCTGGGACCTCATCCCACCCACATCTACTCCCCACTGGGGATCAGGCTGAAGGTTAAGAACAGTCAGAAGCAGACCCTGCTGTTCGTCAAGGGTTGCATCCCTTCCTCTCCATTATTCTGGCTTCACGGCAACCCCATTAATCTCATTATTAACCACTAGGAAAACACCTACTACAAAGCCCCAGATAGAAGCCTTAGGAAGCTAACCACCACGATCTAGTTCAGAACAAGGGCTGGACGAGCTAGAAAAGCCTATATTGTCCACCTCCCTGCCCCAGGTGAGGCTACTCTTGAAAAATCCAAGTGGATCTTACAGTGGACAGGGCTTGTGATTGGGATCTGCTGAGACACCAGTGTAAGAATACTCAGTAACTCCATTTCCCAAGCTTGGCCGAGTGTCAGACCAACTGCTGCCCACTTTCCAGTTTTCTCATCCTTTTCCCAGTCCGCCTCTCCTTCCTACCAAGGGCCCACACTGCTTCCAGAGCACTGGTCAGAGGTCACAGTCCCAGTGGTGTCCGGGAGTGAGAATGTGGAAGATGCATCCCCGCAGCTTTGGTGTCCCCGAGCAACGCTTTCACTGTCCTGACCCTGCTCCCTAAGCAGTACTGCTGACAACAGCCGCCCTCCCTACTGCCTGCTGGGTGCTGTTCAGGACGGGAGATGGAAAAGCCCACCTCTAGACCTTCTGCTCACATTCCTGACTTGGGCCTCCTCCGAAGAGGGCACTGTCATATGCTGACTCCCTGTGGTTCTCAGATACTGAGCAAGTATGCTGATCAGAGCGACTCTGTGCACTATGGTAGTTTAAAAAAAAAACAAAAAAAAAACTGCTTCATGCAAAGTCACCTAAGTCTTGATGCATTTATGCTTGGAGATGTCTCAATACATGGCAGGGCTGATATTCAGCACCTATGCCAGGGGCTGGGGATATAGCTCAGTGGCATAAGCGCCTGCCTGGCAAGCGCAAGGTCATGAGTTCGATCCTCAGTACCGCAAAAAAAAAAAAAAAAAAAAAAAAAATCAACACCTATGCCATTATTGTTGGCTTTTTAATAATAAAATAGGCTTGAAACTGGCAAGTAAGTACGAGCCCTAAACCCGTCCGCAGTGTCCTCCAACCACCAAGCTCTTCACCAAGATCTGTTCCCAAGCCAGCGTCTACTAAAGCCGCCCGAAATGGTAACTGCTGGCCACACGGGGTTATTTAATGCAAACTTAAAATTAGGTTCCTGTGTCACTGGCCACAGTTCAAATCCTCAACTGACACATGTGGCTACCATACCGAACATTTCCATCACTGAATTAACTGTACAGTAAGTCATGTCAGCGCCACAGGCCTCAGGGACCTGTCTTGGCTGTTCGCGGTCCCTATTATGAGATGTTCAGCAGGACACATAGTCCAGGGCACATTCCTCAAAACCTAACACTCCAGGCCCCTGGGCCCAGAATCAGCTCCTAGCTATGGCTATAAAGTCAAGGACAAGCAAAGTGTGGTTACGTGAGCTTGTCTCTGCGACACGTCTGTCCCCTCCTCCTGCCATCTCCTGACTGTAACCAAAAGGATTCACAGTAGATGCATGTCAGTGCTCACCCCAAATGCAGGCTCAGGCAGCACCAATGAAGGGTCCAGAGTGCTTCCAGGGAAGGCAAAGCCAGCTACAATTCCTTTGTAAGGAAAAGGCCACACCCCTTATAAACAATCAACTTTTTATAAAAAGATAAATGTACATATTTACACACACGACCAAATATGGTCACACGCGACTCAGGGGGTTCGATGGCATTTCCAATTCTGAGACACCAAGGCGCTCACACATCCCTCCCTGGGCTGCCAGGGCCTGGGCGGGTGGTGGGCACTGGGCAAGGCACTGTATAAATAAATGCTAAGTCAAGAGCTTGAGGAAAATGTTAGTGTACACCTTGGATAGGAAATGTGGCAAGGTCCACAAGAAAGTGCCATGTTTCTTCCCAAGCCCCTCAGCCGGAGCAGGGGGCAGGCAGGGCTGCTCTGGGGCTGAGGGTCACCTCCACATGGGACCCCTTCTTTCTTCACATTTCACTGGCTTTGGAACAGTCCCCGGGGCTCAGCTGGGAAGGGAGGCGGGTCTTTGGGAATAAGATTCATTTAGTGCAATTGTCTCTTAGGCAGAGCCAGCCTGGGCTTGGTGCTGTGCTCTTCTGAGGTCACCCATCTATTCCCTGGGGGCCAGCTCAGTGACTGTGAGACCCTCTCCAGGCAGCGGGGCTGAGAGAAAAGCGAGAGGCCAACTCCTGTCCTAGTCTTCGGCTGAGTCACCCATCTCAGAACCCCTTCGCCCTCTTCCCGAGAGGCTAAACCAGCTTCACCCCACAGGACAAGCCCAGGCCCTGGCCTGCAGGTCCTGAGTGTCCACTGACCCCAGGGGGGCAGGCGCCATCCTTGCTTGCAGAGGTGTCTCAATGTGCTACGCTGGGGGGCCACAGGGCCCAGCTTCTCTGCACACAGCCACCACAATGCCAGGTCCTGCTTGCCTAGGAGTGAGGGGGCCAGGGCCCAACTACGGTGCACAGGGTATGGGCTGGATGGAGGGCATCCTGACTGGGGGCAGCATGCTGTCCAACCAACTGGGGTCCATGTTCTTCAGATCAGTGAAGACGGGGTGCAGCCTCAGCCCGATGTCACCTGGCGGGGTGAGCAGAGCTGTGTGAGGAGGGGCGCGGGGGGTGAGGTGCTTCCCCGTGCCACCTCTCCACAGCCGTGTCCCTGAACACCGCCAACACAGCCTTGCCGTCCACACCTCAGCAGCAAGCACCCCCTCATCTTTGGGTAAACCTCAGAGCAGCAGCCACTCACAAGCTGTCTGTACCCACCAGCACAGTGTGAGGGGTGCTTTACCTCACTGTGCCCTGGCCCTGCCCCCAAGCACTCCCCCACCCCACATACTCCTCCTTTCTCCCAGAACTGCTAAACAGCAGGGCATAAAGGCATATGCCTATCATCCCAGCACTCTGGGAGGCTGAGGCAGGAGGATCGTAAGTTAAAGTCTTCCCTAGGCAATTTAGTAACTGAGAATCTGGCTCAAAACTAAAAAAAGTCTGGGGAGGTAGCTCAGTGCAAAGGCCCTGCATTCAATCTCCAGTGTGGCAGGGCACAGAAGCAAAGTGAGAAGCCACAAGGTTCCAGGGACTTCTTACCGCCAGGACTGTCAATTTCTGGCTCCTCCTTGCAGCTGAAGTCTCCATAGATGGATGTAGGCTGGACTCCAGGCTCATTGAGCAGGTACCCCTTCCCATCCACGTTTGTGGGCTGCCACTCTGACTGCTCCAGTAGCTGGAGGAAGAGGGGCAAGCTGTCAGCCGCCTTCCATTGAAGACCTGCCCTGTTGCCTATACCTTCCAACCAGGATCACACCCTGGGGTGCTGGGAGGCAGAAATGCACACTGGCCCTGCCCCTCGGGTCATTTTCTCTGCTCCCTCCACCCCACCCCTAGCCCAGAGTCTCCACTTCCCTCAGCTGTGTAAGGACACAGCACGCAGAGTGCAGCTCAGAGCAAGGCTAGCAGAACAAGACGAGACAACCAACTATAAGAGCTAAAGAGCTATGCCTACATCTCAATTTTCTGTGCTGCTAGGGAAGAGTCCACAGGTAAAACTGTCTCAAAATCTTTTTATATTCACTTTAAAAACTGAAGCAGAAAAAAAAACATCTAGATGATAATCTGACTTTAAAAAATGTTTAAGCCATCATATTACAGATCCCAGAGGCTATTTTTTTTTTTTCAGTACCGGGAATCGAACTCACAACCTCGCGCTTGCCAGGCAGGCGCTGTGCCGCTGAGCTAAATCCCCAGCCCTGAGGCTGATTATTAAAACCTGACGTGTGTTTCCCAAACTGACTGGGCGTGCCGGCTTACAGGACACAGCCAGGGATCCGGCCTACAGCAGCTTACTCACTGGGCGGCCTGGGGCCCTGAGGCCTCCCGCTGCCCTGCACTGCCCACTGTCCTTCCCAGCGGCCAGGCAGTGACTGCAGCTGCCCACACTGCCTCGGAAGCTCTCACTGGCTCCCTCTCCTCAGTGAGACAGCCATTCCAGAGTGCCCCGGGAGAAAGGGGCTTTACCTTCATGATGTCCTCAGGTATCTTCCCCTCCTCATCCTCATCCGTTGCAGCTGTGAACGGGAAGAGCGGAAAGGTTGGCAGGCAGTTAGCCATACTTGTCCTGCACACACCAGCCTCCCACCGGACATGTGCCTGCCACTGAGATTCTCAAACAGGACTCAGCCTCCCAAACCATGAAGCCACACCTCTTCTCACCCTTCACTTCCTTCCTCACCCTCACCGCGCGGCTGCGGAAGAGTCAGCAGAACTAGAAACTTTTGACCCCTTCCCTCTTCCTATTTTCCCTCCACAGCACTGCAGCCCGCTCCATACTGCCTTCCTGGTACCCCAGGGGTTTGCCTCATCCCCGTGGGGGTCCAGGCTGGGCAATGCCTGGCTCAATCAGCTCGGCGGCAGGGGGAGCCTGAGCATCTTTGCTCCCGCAGGAGGCCCTTCTTGGGACACCACCGGAGAAGGAGGCAGGCCAGGCCCTAGCAGTACAGACCTTCAGAGGTGGAAGGCATGGGTGACACCTGGAAGTTGTACAGGTCACTAGTGCTATCTGGCACTATTTCCACCGGTAGGTGCCAGTCCGGGAGACTGCTGCTGATGGCGCACGGCGACAGTGCTGGGGAAGAGCAGAAACCAAAGGTCAAGGCTGTGTGTTATGCTCGTCTGCAAGACTCCCAGGCCCCCTACCCTGCAGTCTGCTCTAACAGGCCTCCCCTGCCAGCGGGATGCTTCCTGGGTCCAAGACAAGGAACCATCATACAACCCGTGGGGTCCTCCGGCAGACCCAGCGCTCTCACCTGGAGTAAGGGCCCGCTCCCCATCCAGGTCCTGCCCTAGGTAGCCGTGAGCTGTGTAGCTGCTGTGGTCATCAGGCAGGGTGCAGCTGCTGAGTCCATCAGAGAAGGTGTCGGGGCTGGAATCCCCACACGACTGCGAAGGGAGAAAGCAGCTCAGGCCCCCTGAAGCACCCTTCCACTGCGCCCCTTGTTCCAAGGGACCAAAGGTTTGGCTGCTGGCAATCACACTCACCTTCCTCTTGGCCTTGCTCTTAGTGTCTCGGCTGGACTTGGACTTTCTCTCTGTGGGACGGACAGGCTGCTGTCAGCTTTGGCAGAGGCAAGCCGGCCCAAGAGACCTTCTTCCTCCCTCCCTCCTGAGGGCTCCCGGAGGACCCAGAACCCTTGGCTACCTTTCCTCTGGTTCTTGGTGAGAGGCGGGAGCATCCGGTATACCCGCACAGCGGAGCTGCCCTTGTTCCTGCTCTGGTCTTTCACCTCCTCGATGTCGGGCAGGGAGTTCATGGCACAGCGGAAGTTTGCCTTCCACGTCTTGGGATCTGGCTCTTTTTCCCCTGCTTTGTATCGGCCTAGAGAGCAAGAGTGACGTGCATCATCGGCTGCCCCGGGCTCGGGAGGAAGAAGGCAAGAGGACCCTAGACACTCACACTGGTGAGACCAGCAGGTTTTCCAAGGCTACTCTGCTGGCCCTGGGATGCGGGGCTTCTCAAACACCCAGGCTTGGCTTAAACATCCAGGAGGCTCAGCGAACGGCCCAACCAGAAGTTCTAGAGTGCTCCTAGCCCCTGAAGTGTGCTGTCTCCTGGAGCATGCTGTCTCCCTGCTTGCACCATCAGCAGCCAGAGGCTAGGGGCAGGGGCTGCTCTGGTATCTCCAAACTAGGCACAGGCAGAGTGGGCAGTGAGGAACAGCTGCTGACAGGTGGCTGACTGTTCCAAGTCGGGTCAAGAGCCCCGTCCCTCAAGGATAAGCAGCCTACCGAGCAGGACCTTGGGCCAAGAGCCACGGTCAACCTTTGGAAAAAGGAAGATCTGGGTGTCTCGTTCAGTGTCTTGGCTCATACCTGCTCTCTCTAGGGGGAACCTGACTCTAACCACAGGCTATCCAAAGCCATGTCAAAATGTTGGCTTTACGAATCCCTTAGAAATGATGGATTCTGTCTTCCAGAAACACAGGTCTGGCCCGGCCCCTCCCCAGTCATTCTGCACTGTCCAAGGGTGCTCAGAGACCATCCAGAGCCTCTGTGTTACGTTAGTGCCTCCCCCTCACCCCCACCTGAGCCACAGTCCCAAAGACATACCTGTATGAATGGCCCAGCTGCGGAAGAGACAGGCATCCTTATTGATGTCCCAGCCATGCTTGGCCGCGTGCTTCCATGGAATCTGGAAGATCATCTCCTCCTGAACAATACACGCACAGGCTGGTCAACTCAGAGACCACAGGCTCTGCAGTTACACGTGCCCAGCCCCCAAGCTCTGGGAAAAGGCTGACTTCCCCTTTTTACCCTGATATCTGTCATGGGTTAACCTGTCTTGAGGGTGGCTTAAACAGGCCACTCTAGAGCTCTGGGAGGGGCCCAAATTCTGATAACCTGTGATAGCATCAGCTTGGCACAGCTGTCAGCCTGCCAGATGTGCTGGAACCCACAGAGCAGCCTCCCCGCAGCCCTGCTTGGGACACTCTGGGGTGCTTCTCTCTGGCTTAGCACCAGCACCAACCTGGAGGAACAGGATACCTGGAAACACCGGCTCCTACACAGGGGGTCTTTGGGCCAGATTTGAATGCTGACTACCTGTGGGACCTTGGTTTTATACCTCCTGGCCCCCCACAATTTCCTCTCCTCAGAAATGAAAAAAACAGGACTGGTGTGAGGAAGAAATGACACAACGTGGGGACTTACTGAGCAAGGTGGCAGACATAGTAACCATGAGCTACTATTATTACCACTGTTCCCACCAAGTCTCCAGGCTTTACATTGCTCAAGCACACCAGCTATATAAGCTTCTGCAGCCAGAGCAACTGGTGCAAAATTAATTCTTGGGTCCTCTGCTGAGCCAGCCACCATCCTGCCCAGCAGCGCTCACCTGTCTGTCTGGAGTCCTACAGAATGCTGTGTACAACAGGGGTCTCCTTGGAGGGAGACAACCCAAGCTTTAGAGCTACCTGGAGTCTCGTGCTGGAAACCCTACGCGCCTTTCTTCAGGTGGGTGTCCCGCCCCTGTACTGGGATGGGAAAGGGGGAGCTGGGCAAGCAGGCACAAGTCTGCCCTTGCATGCAAGACCCATGGGAACCATACCCATCTGCCTCCTTAGTATGTCCCTCTTGGAGGCTTTGGTCCCTTTTAGAGCACGGGTTAAAATGGTAGCAGAAAACCCCAAAGAATTACACTCACTTTATTAATCCAGATCAGCCCTGGGATTTGGTTGGAATTAATCTGCATCTCTAGCCAGGGTCTCATGCGCATCCGAGTGATGGGCATGTTGGCTGTAAAGAGAAGACAGAGGCTCCCATTTGGAGTTTGCTGAGCAGTCCCTGGGTATTACCCCGCCCCACCACGGTCACTGAGTTACCCGCTCCTGCCCTCACACTCGGGCCATTACCCCCTCCTAGGCTAGGTACCTGGTCCTAACAATCTCGGGGAAGGAAGCAGCACTGCAATAAAACTGCCCCCGCCCCCCAAACCTGGGAATGCTGGGCCTGGTGGCCCAAGCCTGCAATCCCAGCACTCAGGAGACTGAGCAGGAGGGTCGCCAGGAGTTTGAGGCCAGCCTGGGCTACACTGTGAGTTGAAAGCCAACCCGAACCACATAGCAAGACCCTTAAAAAAAAAAAAAGAAAGAAAAGAAAAGAAAAGAAAAGAAAAAAGAAAGAAATCCCGGGAGAGCATCTTGGGCAAAACACCTGCCTCTTCTCTCCCCTCCCAGCCATTGGCAGGACCCAGGCGCCAAGTGACAGCCTCAGGATTTACGTGCAGGACAAGACACAAAATGCACAGATACCTTAATAACAAAACTTTTCTCTGAAAATTCAAGTCCTCTGGGGATGAAGAGGCTTCTTTTGCGTGCTGCCCAGAAGAAACTGCCACGATTGGAGTTGTTGCCCCTAGCTATGCACGTTCCCTGACGGGCCAGTGGTCACCCTGCATCCTGGACACCTCCCCCAACTACGCACCCCCCCCCCATTCTGTGCCTTTCAGGGAGCCACAGTGCCCACGGCCCCGAGGCCGGGACACAGTCCCCTCCGGAAAGGCCTGGTCTCCCTTCCTCGAGGGAAATGGCCCAAAGATCACCTGTGGCGCCTCCGCCTGCAGCCCCCTCGAGTAAGAAGTGCCCCTGCAGCCACTCAGGGCAGCGAGCACACGGAGCCCGAACCCTGGGGGTGGGCGCCAAGCTGGAACCGCCGAAAGCCGGCGCCAGAACCCTGGGCGCCACCCGAGTCCCCGGCGTGCGCGGAGGATGCGCGCGACGGTCGCACCCGGCCACCTAGAGGCCCGGCAGCTGCGCGCACGCAGCTCCGCAGAGGC